ATCTCTAACCATGATCTAACATTTTGATGTTGACCTGGAACAGCACTTTGCAGGTTTAAAAATGTCTTGATTAGAGGTCTCTTTCTTACTGCCATTGATCATTGAGAATAAACTAAACTTTATTTTAAACTCATCCTTTTAATGTTTTCCTTAATATTAGGGTTTGAAAATGTTATTTTAAAACACAGACGTTTGCTTGGAGTTGGATCTGTTTCCTGAGAAGCCTACCATGAGGATATAAATGGGAGCAATGATCTTCTCACAGGAGAGCAACCTGGGCAAAGCAAGCTCTTGAAACACCCAAGCTTGTTCTACTGCGTGCTCACCTTCGTCTTCTAGATGTCCTCGATGGGGGAGCATCCATCTTAGGTGTTTGCTTGCTTTCCTTGAGAAAGCTGTCAAAGAGAACAGGAAAGCGAGTTCACGCTTTGTACCAAAACTGAGTCTGCTACAGTGTGGGATAAATGTGCTGCTGATACCCGTTTGGGATAGCTTACGAAGGCATGGCAATTAGCTGCAGCTGAGGAGCTGTCCTGTTCTTTGCTGTAAACTCGAGATGCCTTTGACGTTGAAGGCAAATTAAAAAAGCTGTCTGCTCCTTAGAGAAGTTTGTTTTGATTAACACAAAGTCCATCTGGTACCAGCAAAGTTTACATTCCTGTAAACTGCACGGTATTGAGTTTTACTAGGCCACCTACCCTGCTGTCTTCAATTATAACATCTCCGAATGCTCTGATGATGTAATTGATTTCAGGATGAGCTGTGCTTTTCAGGAAGCCAAAGCTGCCAAATATCTGTCTTGGCCTCTGTTTGAACTGTATGAGAGCAATCCCTGCATTATTAAGCATTTCTTAGATTTATTGTTTGTTGTGATTCTGGTTGCTTTAGGGAGTATTCCTGAAAGGCTTTTAAAAGATAGCAAGTAGCGAATTACACGCTGTTTCACTTTGTGGGAAAGCTGGCACGAAGCGAGGGTGGAACCGCTGTCCAAATGTGCTCTTTTCACACTCGTTTAGCAAACCTGGCAATCTGCATTTCCTGCTCTCATTTTATCTTTCCATTACGAAAATCTGTGAGACCCCCACATCTTGAAATGTTCACCTTGGTTTATGCCCTGGAGGTAGTGTTTTGCTGCGTGGAGCTACTGTCAATACCATTTTCTTACATATGTCCCGTGCCCGTTCTCATGTGGGAATGTGCGTGTTTTGGCTGGAGGAGCCACATTACGATGATCGGGGTGGAGCAAGTGACAGGGAGGGGATCCTGTTAACAGCGGGATGTTTGGCAGCCTTGTGTGGCTTGCATACGCGCAGAAACCTGACCTGTCAATGCCTTTTATAAAAGGCAGCTGTTTTAAACAGGTATAAAACAGTACAACTTTTGTAATAGTAATTTCTTCGATTATCCTAGGTAAAGTACAAAATAAAGGGGTTTGTTGCCTGGTTTTGTTTTTAAGGTGGCCTGAGCAAAGTTCAACCCTGTTTTGGATGCGTTTGCGAGCTGTAATTTTACATGTATATGTTGCACTCATGGAGTATCACTGACATTAAGCAAAATTCCTCTTCCAGGTGCCATTTGCAGTTCCTTTGAATTTAATACCTTAACTACGTATCGTTCTGTGCCTCAGCAAACATAAGAAAAATATGTTCCTAGTTACCTTTCCTGAACCAAGTAGTAGCCTCCATAAGGTACTCGGGAATACCGCATGGTTCTTGTTGAAACAATACTTTGATCCACTGAGTGTAACCTGCGTGTTTATGCTGCTCATGTAGATAGCTGGATTACAAGCAGTAAGCAATGTTATCTTGCATGATTTCCAGATAAACTTCTTAACAACAGCTTCCTTAAGATGGAAAACTTTTGCTTCTTGATTGAACGGCTATGGAAAGAAACATTTCTTGACTGAAGCTGCCAAGTAGTAAAAGCATTCGGAGAAAGGATCAGAAAGTACAGGGCTTGCTTCACCCATTCCCAGTTATCCTTCTCTTCCATTCTGGTGCCTCCGTGCTTGCTGCTGATCTTTCTTCAGCACAGAGCAGTGATTTGCAATGGGCGAGGGGGTTGTTTTGTTTTTTTTTTTCTCCCCTCATCTCTCTTAGATGTGTTACCACTACACAACTTAAAACTGTGAGGGACCAGTTAGGATTTTGAAATTAACTTTGACATGTAGATTAACTGATGCCTTGAACTGTGTCTGGTAACATGCATAGTGCTGTACTTGCTGCAAGGAAGGTGTGAAAGTTGCTGCAAGCATTTCAGTTATTCCTAGGCAGACCAAAAAAAGTCAAAATTAGAATGCGTAAAGAGGAAGCTTTCCTGCACTGTACTGCCAAGCATGAAAGAACAACTACTGCCTTCCATTTACATTTATTTTCTGTCTTTAATTTTCTCCTCAGGCCAGGCTTGATGGTGAACAAAGAGACGGTAATGGTGAGGGTTCCTGGTTGGCAGTCTTTAGATCTGGATCAGGGTCCTGTTTTACAAGCCCTGAAGCACGGAAGCAGTTTCCTGAGTATCAGCAGTCTAAAATGAAGCTTAGCCTTCCTCACTGAATTGCTTCCTCTTCAAATAGTGTATTGTTTCTAGTAGTTGTTCCGGCTGGAGCATCTTTGATGCAAATTGGGAAACTTTTATCTGTTCAATGCTAGGTAATCTCTACCAGGGACATGCAAAGTGGCGTCTGCCTATCCCCCCATCCCTACAGTAGCTTCCCGGGGGCTTATAAGTTGCGTGAATGTGGGTGGCTGTTCTGGAGAGTGGCAAAAGACACGGCCTCAAGATGATGGCAGCCTTGTAAGTTTTTTACTGGTTCAAGGCATAGAGGTAATACAGTTTCTCAAGGGCAAAGCTGCCAGAACTTCTTAACATTGGTGAAAGTGTTCTTCTTTCTCTAAATGAAGTCTTGGAAAAAGCTGAACTGTTTTAGTTCCCCCATCTCTCCCCCTCCCGCTCCCCCAATAATTCCACCTAAAGCAACTATTTGTAATGGAAATTTTCTGCCCAAAGTGTTACAGTTTGTCAAAACTACAAGCAAGTGAAAACAGGTTCCTTGTAACAAAGAGAGTCAGGCAACATGAATAACAGAGGGCAGCCCCCTCGCCTCCACCCATAAAAATATAAACAAAATGCAACCTAACACTTCTGTTCTTATTAAAATTCACAAGGGGATTGGGTTTCATAAATGTTCCAATAGGGAACAAAAGATCAGGGTTTGATCCAAACGCTATTAAAGTCGCTGAGAGTCTTTCCCTTTGGCTCCAGCAGCTTTTGGAGCAGGGCCATGGTGAATGCTTGAAGGCCAACCTGACCTTTCATGGAGAGTGAAAACTTAGTTTCATCTCACTTGTACTTGCTGGAGCCTGATTAAAATCAGTGGGAGCTCAAAAACTTTGCACTTTGCAGAGTTCAGCCCTTGAAGACTAGTCTGACATTTAAGTTAGATTCTGTGCTTAAATGTCAACATTTGTAAATAAGTAGGCACCAAAGACCTAAGGTCATTCAGCTTTCTTTACAATATATGGTTTGGTTACTGAGTTTTAGGCACAACACTTACAAGTTTTCTGAAAGGCGATTATTTTCTAGAGAGCACCCAGATGCACTTCTTGTTAAATTCTAACTCTGTTTCACTCTGGCTTTGCCACTACTGCTTCTGTCTACATTGTAATCTCTTCTCCATCTTTTCATGGTGACCAGGATTGCAAACTTCCTACTATAGAAATTTTGAACAGAAGGCCAAATACAAAGGATTCTTGGCAACGTTAGGAGGTGTTGCAATCTTGTTTTTTCTAAAGACTTAAGGGTAAAAGTGGTCAGATGATAGACTGTACTGAGGAATTTGGAGAGGAAGTAAGATATATTTTATATGCTAGATGTTTAGGGAGAAACGTATGACTCTCTCATGCTTGGAGAGCTAACTTGTTTGCAGGTTATTGTGATTCATCCTGTAGTTTTTGTAAATCATATAAATAGACAGGTGACTTTTACTGGTTGTATGTTACACAGAGGAACCTACAAATATTTCAGTTCTACATTTATTTTGTTTACTTGTTGCTTATAACTTCTTGAAATTATTTGTCAATTTTTCAACAGTTATCTAGTTTCTCACAGCTTAAAATATTTTCTCTCTACTTTCTTGTCATCTTGTTATCTTTTTCTATATTTACTTCTTTATTTTTGTGTGTTATCACTTGTTTTACAATGAGAAAAAACTGCAAGGTTCTACCAAAGTGAAATTATGATTGAATTAATGTCAAAGGAATGGTACCATTTGTTGTATTAAAAAAGCTCATTAGAATTTGGGAAGTGCTTTTACCTTACATTAAACTCTATCTACAGCCAAAACTACGTATTTAAAAATTATTTTAATTTTACTCATTGAGAAACAGGACGATTTTCACGAATGCTTTTAGAGCAATAAGCTACCTGTGTGTCTGACTTATTGCCATTAATTATCGTAACACTCTGTCGGTTGACTTGTAATGGAACTTACGTGTATAGAATATACTTTTAGGAAAAAATGCTTAAAATAAGTTCAGTTCTGCTAGACAGTTCTTTCCTTCTCTAGAGACTGAGTAGAGAGCTGGGAACGAGGAGTTTTTGCATTTTAATCATGGCCTGAAATTGAATTGCTCTGTTTGTGTGACCTTTTAAAAACGTGTCTCAATATATTCTTCTGGGAGATTGGAGACAGCAACCTTACTGAGACACACATGGGGTTTTATAAGGATTAAGAAGTTAATTGATGATTTAAAAAAACATTCGGGGGGGGGGAAACTGCAATGTATTGTGGTATATATTATTTGAAATGTTCTCAATATTTTACATGCATAATTAAGTCACATGGGAAGCGCTTTGAAGAATAAAAGTGGTAATCATTTATTATGGGAGCAAGTTAGTTTAGAGTGGTTAAAGCAAAGCATAGGCAATTTTTTTTTTCCAGTTTGAAAAATGAATTATTGTCCCAAAGTATTTCAATAAATATTTGTTTCCTTATATTTCAGCTACCTGACTGCAAATAACAACCAGAATTTCTTGTATATTGCAAGGCCATTTTTAAAGAGAGCTGCTTTGGTAATAAGCTATGTAAGTATGAATAGAGTTGACCATGTATTTGTGTGCATGTGGCTAGAATGAGCATTGTCTGGTTGGATCCCACAAGAGACAGAAAGCTGAGATGGTAGGCCTTAACGCACAGTTAGTCTTGCGAAGTAGTCTAGAAAATTTCAGCTGGACAGAAAGACAAGAATATTGCTGTGTTGTGTTTTCAGTTCAAATTTTCTTGTAATTTATTAGAGGAGGTCATTACAACCTTATAATCATCTGCAAGTATTTCCTGCCCTAAATATGGAGGGAATCTGTAGCATTGAGCTGACTGGCAAATATTGATTTTTCAATGGTATGCTGCTAGTTTCAAAGCAGGGCTCAGTAAGAGTCACAAGGAAAGCTCTGCCTTCAAATACCTGGTGCTTGAGGCAGTCAGAACAGGGCTTCACAAATTGCAGGAGGAGAAACCAGACACCAGCAGGAGCCTGCTGGGGGTGCAGCTCCCTGTGGTCCTCTGTAGGCCAGATCCTGTTGCTCATCTTGCGATGACTTGCATTTCCCAGGCAGGTGGTGAAGTGCCAACCAGCAGAAGTCCTTCCGGAGCCTAGGGTTGCTCTGTACGAGGAAGATCAGGGGAGCTTGTTCTTAGACCTATGCCAACATCAGGGAGTAATGGTGGTTTTTAAGATATCAGTCCTGTTTTTCCCTCTGTATTTAGGTAGAGGTTGATGGCAAAACCTCATAGTCAGAGCCACAACAGGGTGACAGATTTGTCCTGCTTGTGCTGTGGGTAGCCTTGATGTGCTCATTCCTGTCAGTAAGGTGCACAGGAACGGGGTGGGGACAAGTATAGCATGCTGTCTGCGTTGAGAACTGGGATGTTCATCACCTGAATACTCGTAGTCTTCTAGATGATGTTGGTTAGACTAGCACAGTCATCTGCCACGGAGGGTTTTGTTCCAAAGCTGTCCTGAGCTCTGTGCCATAGCGCAGTGCATATGGAGGTGGCTAATGGGGTGGAAACGGGGGCAGCGGTGATGGGGACTGTGTAGGCCTGGAAAGTCAGGGGTAGGCTCTTCTTCCCTGGGCAGCCCACCTGGCCTCCTGCCCGTGTGAGCCCTGGGCACTGCCCCTTCCCTTTCCTGGCAGCCTTGGAGAGTCAGGAAGATAAACGAGGACCTCGAGGTTGAATTTTGCCACCTGAACCCTTTGCTTAGGGTTGCAAAATTGAATTTTGACTAAACTGCTAGCTGACTTGCTTCTGAGCATACAGTAAAACTAAGAGAGCTATAAAAAATATATTTGCTGGAGGCCTTAGTTCTTCAGTAGCATATTACTAAACTAGATGTTCTTCTTTGAAGGTGATTCTCGTTTTGTATTTTCGCCTCTGGATAATGGGAGGATCCATGCCAATGTTTTCAGAACAGGACAATCCAGCTTCATTCTCACCGTATTTACTGACAAGGTACAACGCCACTAATCAAAAAATCTTTTCAAAAGTGTAGTCTCAACATTATTTTTTTCCTAAAGTGTTTTACAGATGGCAAATGAGAACTTGTTTTGTTGTGTTAACGTAATTGCTTCTTATTGCTCTGTCTAGAATAGAAAACAATCAGCATTATTTGAACCCCAAAGCATGCTTCAGTCCCTGTAGAATGATGTTACATATGCTTGCTTACTGAAAGCTGTGGTTTTATTTTTATGCAATGCCCAAAACATATAATTTAATTGTCTGAGCACAGGACAAGAAAGCCCAGTGACTAAGCCTACTCCCAAACTTTAAAACTGACTGCTCCTGAGATATGAGACACGAGCGTTCAGTCTTTGCTTCAGATGAAGTTTGTATAAGAAGGGGGTGACCATGCCTGTTAGTGCAATATTGATGGCTAATTAGTACTCTGAAGGTGGAAGGCAAGAACCAAGGAGCACATATTACTGACGTAGTACTACACAGTTCTAGCTGAGAGCAAGATGGGCGGCCGGGGATTAATTAAAAATGTCAAATTTGAAATTTGTGTTAGCAGATTTTCATTTTGTTATTTTATCAGTAAATTTTTTTAAAGGGAGTGAAAGAGTTGTTTAAGTAAGTCCTGCAAAAATGATTTTTCCTTGCCTGGTATGCAGTTTATGGTCAGGTTGATGTCATGTTCCTCAGGCTCTGCTGGGCCAGACCAGCAAGGCAGTGGTAGCTGTGATTTAGCAAGCAACACACTTCCCTCCAGGTCTAACAGGAAGAGCGCTCCAAGAGAGTGGTGGGAAGTTGATTTGCTTTTAAGACAGGGCGGGTGAATAACTGATTGTTCTGGTTTGCAACTAAAATGGGGAAAGACATTCTGGAAGTTTCTGGATGTATTTCCTGATGTCTCAATGAAAAGGGGAATAGTCCTCCTCTGTGCCACTTTCTGGCCTTGCTAGTTCCTAATTCTAGCGGTGCAATTGTAGCTGAGATGCAGTTTAAGATCAAGAAATTCTTGTTCAGCATCTGCTGCAAAACCAGACTGGATCTCTTTTGGGAGATCCTTATGATAATGTGACAGCAGCTCCTGTTACCGTCAAGGCTCAGACTGCTTTCAGGAAACATGATGTCTGATTTGAAAAGCTCTGATCTGTGCACAGCCTTTCTGGCAGAGTCATTAATACTGGGGTCCTTGTGGCACAGTGTGAAGGATTTACTGCTGTCCATTTTGGACATATTTATGCTAAGACCAGGGTCATCAAGTTATAAATGATCCTGGGCTGATTCCAGTTACTTCTTCTATCGCTGCAAATGTCTTCATGTATTTGACTTGTTACATTTTGTAATGACAGGGGAAGATTCTTAAACCCAAAAGCTAAGTCATTCTTGGGAATATGAACAGAGATTATTTTTACCATCTGCACTGTGGATTTCATAAGCCTTATGAAAGATAGGTGAGAGCACTGCTGGCTGAGCTCCTCCCTAGCCCCAGCAGTAACCTTGGTGTCACTTGTAGTCCGGCAACACCTACCTGCTCCAAACAGTCATTTCCCCTTCCCAGTGACAACCACTATTATAGCTCTGAAAGCATTCTAAGATCCCGCAGTAAGCCTAGCTCTTCCACTCCTGCCGAGCTTGATCCTAACCCTCACTTTAGCCAATTGATCCAGAAGCCTGTATCTTCCACCCAAAAAAACCCCTCCAGCAAGCCCTGATCCCAGCCATTTTATGACTTTCTAATATCCACAGTTAAATTTAGCTTGTCAATTCCTTTTCTCCTAAACTAGCACCAACCTATCATGGCTAACGGTTGGGTATGAGCCCTGACAACAGGAGCTAAAGATGAGTTTTGTTTCTGAATCCTGCAAAGGCTCCTCCTTGCTGAATACCAAAACAATAGGGTGAGGTCTGCTTTCAGGAGCCGGAATGGCTTTGCTGAGCTGAACAGCTCTTGGAAGAATTAGGGACAGAGCTGGCTGTGAGCTAGGGGAAAAGAGGCTGCAATTGTGTCAGGCAGCAGCAAGAGCAGGTGAGCTGGGCGCCAAGGATGACCCCAGCATAGGCCAGGCCCTCACTAAGAGGTGCAGTCCTACAGGGCTGAGCACAGGGGCAGAGCAAGGTGCGATGATGGCGTCCTTCAACTGCCCCTGGCATGGCAAGGTGATGAATCCGGCCCAGGGTCCATTCAGAGCATCCTGTAAGGGGATGAGGCCAAACGCAGGGCTAGTGAAAAGACTATGATTTGGGTCCAAAGCCCAGTCAGGAGCCAGGGCTGAACTCAAATGAGGCTCCTGGAGCAATGGACAATGGGTGGAGTTCCCCAGGTCCTCCTGGCTGGCCATTAAGGCCTGTTAGTGTCTTCAGGGCCCTGACAACTGTTGCCACAGTTCAGTACCTGCCACGGGTCTGGTCACTGACGTCCTGCAATAGGCCCCTGTCCTTGCCCTCTGGGCCTTTAGGATCTAGAAAGAAACAGGACCCTGAGCTCCTGTTCACCTTAACTTTTAACCCTAGTCTGCTAGCCTTCATCTTAGATCTGTGGGACCTGCAGAGTCTGCTCCATTTCTTGTTTTCCTGAACTCAGACCTTAACCCAACCGCTACCCTGAGCTGCAGCCCAAAAACCTAGAAAGAGGCCAAAACCCAGCTGTCCCAATACCATGCGTTATCCAAAGCCTGCTGTATCCGCCTGCCGGCAAATTAAGCTCGCTAAGCAATGACTTCTTTCCTGAACCCAAACACTAATCCTTGGCTTTAAAATAATCAGTGACCCACTGACTGCCTCAGAGCTAGCTATAGGCCCATCTGCGCTGGCAACATTAGTCTTCATGCTAGGCCTGCAGGATCCTTCTGCAAATGAGAAAACAAGGATCAGAGAGCTGTTCTTTATTACACTGTCTCACCAGTCTCGCAAAGCTGGGGAAGGACTCGTTCATCTATATGGATGATATCTTAGCATAAGTTTCTGGACAGCTGTGGATGGCAAATTTTTGCAAAATGTGTGGGGAGCTGGGGCTTGCAGCAGCAGGGTTAGAGCAGTGCAAGTGAGTGCTGAATCCTGTAAGGCTGTCAGTGATCCTGTGGCTGTCTCTGTGCAAACAGCCCATGATCCATCCACTGGCCATAACCCTTACCTCAGCAACAAGCCTTTTTCCTCCTCACCACCTCTCTCAAATTGTAACTTTTACCTGAGACTTTCTCTTACCATGGTCAGAGCCCAAATTACTGCTACAGAACTAACACTATGCTAGTCACTGTGGCTGTACCAGGTGTTAGCTGGAGTCAGCAAGGTTGATTGTTGTTGGCCTAGTTTTCAGGAAGGTCTGTGTGTCTGGCCAGCTGGAAAGGCAGGCTAAGGTTTAGGGCTGGTATTCAGCTTAGGTGCAAGGAAGAGGGAAGCTGAAGGAAGAAGAACCTTTTCAAACCTGATATTTCCACAGGGTGAAAATAAGACGTGTTGTTAGCTGAGTATGTTGCTTGAAGGTGGATTTGAATCTGATACAGCTTGCTGGCCTCAGAGCTGGTGAGGTTCTAGGACATCAAGGCTAGAGGAGACCTTTGATATCCAGGCTTGTGCTAGTGCGTGCAGTCGCTTACCCAGCTGGTGGTTATCCTGGCTGGCGGGGGAATTTTTGGTTATGTACCAACCTAGGAGAAGCTGCTGAGCACTGCATATTCTTCAGTCATGGGTGCTTGAAGCAGTAGGATGTGAAAAATTGGTGTGAGAGGCTCTTAGTGAGTATTGAGTCAGCAATTAGGTCAGCACTGAATGTAAAGCTAAGATGCTATTCGTAGTTTGGTTGAGGATTTAGGAGGCTGGGGGTGGAAGAGTTAAGACCTTCCTTCAAGGCTGGATGCAGTCTGGTGTCAGTGAGGGCAAATGGCTTCAAAGCTACTTGTGCTTGGAGACTGAAAGTTTCACTTTGTTGCCAGAAGGGAGGAATGCCATGAAACTGAAAGAAAGGCCATTATTGGCGAGGGGAATCTTGAGGTGGTTACTTATTCCTGAACTATCACTAAAGCCAGGGTTAGTGCTTGGGCTGCAGGGAAGTTGTTTTTCTAACTTTCCGAAGACTACACAGGGCACAAATGGGAGTTGCTATTTGCAAGTAAAAGTCTTTTTTATTTGCACTGAGCTGGAAATGTGGTTCTTGTGCATACCTTGCCAGGCTAAATGTTATGGTTTTCAACAGGGTTGAGATGTTATTACAAGATTTTGCCAAGTCTGTGAGGCTAGGAGAAAGGCTGATGACAACAAAAGGGATTAACAAAACAATAGTTTGGAAATGTGGGGTTGTCACTATGAAATGCATAAAGTTTGGACTGGAGGTTGGCATCTTGGCTGACATGGGATGAAAACAAAGAAGTACTGCTAACTCCTGTAAGGTTTCTGTGTGGACTGGTGAGGTGTTGAGGTGTGGTTTGTTTTGAGGCTGGCAAGGATTATTGGAGTATGGCTAGGATTAGGGGTAGGTCTAAGCTATGGCTGGGTTTGAAAAGGTATTGGCTAATGAAGTCAGATTTTGTCAGCCCTTATGATGCCTATAGTGTAAAGTAGATGACTGAGGGTGTGAGGGAGAGGTCTATATATCCATGACTGCATAGAGGAGGGCAGTATCGATTCACTTGGATTTTTTTTTCCAACATAGAAATTAAGGTGAATCACATTAATTTAAGAGGAGACAGGTTTAAAAGAAGCCAAAGGAGGTTGTTCTTTATGCAATAGGTAATTGAGCTGTGGAACTCCTTCCTGCAGGATGCTGTAGATGTGCTGCAAGCTTATACAGGCTCAAAGAGAGACTCACCAAGTTAAAGAAAGAAATCCAGGCCACTAAATATGCAGAAACCACATCCAACTGAGGAATCTCCTGCTAGCTAAAAACTGCAAAAAAGGTTTTGTGTGTTCTTATCCTGTTCTTACGTGCTTTGCTTGACATTCATTTTTGGTCACTGCTAGAGAGAGGATCCTGGTCTAGGAAGACCTTTGGTATGGCCCATTTTGACCTTAGA